ATATATATATATATATATATATATGGTAGTATTTTTTATCTGTAATTGGTTGAGTCCATGAATATGGAACCTGTGGATGCAGAGGGCTGACTGTGTGGCTGTACAGTTGTATCTAGTACATATCAAGTATATCTAGTATATATGTGTTATATATGTCTCTAGTATATGTGATCTAGAATCATGCATCTACCATGCTTCCCTAAAAATAATATCCTTGCCTCACCTGCCATCACTATTCTCTAGCTCAGTGGCTATTCTGTAAGGCAAGTAAGGCAAGGATAGGCTGATTGTGGCTCACATTTTTTATCTCTAGTTTTCAAGGCTGATTATTTTCTGGCTAGGTCTTATTTTAGGGGCAAGAGAGTATTAAGTGGCAGAGCTGAGGAAGGAACTCGGGCCTGGGGGATCCCAAAGCAGGTGGTCACTGTGCCTTTCCCCCACAGCTGTGGCAATTTGGGGAATGGGTGGATGTAGTTGTGGATGACCTGCTGCCCACCAAGGACGGGAAGCTGGTGTTTGTGCACTCTGCTGAAGGCAGTGAGTTCTGGAGTGCCCTGCTCGAGAAGGCTTATGCCAAGTAAGTAGTGACCTTGGTGACAGCTTCCGCCCCACCCCCACCCCCCAGGGTGGGAACCCCTGGCCCTCTTACCTGGTCTTTTATTTTTTTGGTACCGGGGATTGAACTCGGGACCTTGCACCTTCGAGGCAGGCAGCGGAACCACTAAGCTAAATTCCCGGCCTCCTCTTACCTGGTCTTGCTGGATGCTGCAGTGCTTACCTGAAACTACCCACAGGGTGAACGGCAGCTATGAGGCCCTGTCAGGAGGCAGCACCTCAGAGGGCTTTGAGGATTTCACAGGTGGAGTCACCGAGTGGTACGAGCTTCGCAAAGCGCCTAATGACCTCTACCAAATCATCCTCAAGGCTCTGGAGCGGGGCTCCCTGCTGGGCTGCTCCATTGATGTGAGTGTGCCTGGCCTGCCTCTCACACCCCAACCCTGGCACCCAGCCTGGGATGTAGCTGCTCCCTGCCCCAACCCACACTCCACTCAGGCCCCGCCTCTCACCCCAGCACTGCTCTGGAGGCACAATCAGCCTCATGCTCACTCCTTGCCATCACCCAGCTCCATGCCCAGTGTCATTCCTGTCCTTCCTCCCGCTCCACCCCCAAAACCTCAGGTCTAGGCTGCTCCCCAGACTTGTGCTTCTGACTCTTCACTGTGCCTATGGCCTCGCTCCATGTCCTCCAGTTCTCTGGCCTTTGGTTGATCTCTTTCCTGGTCCCAGCCCCTGCCCACTGCTGGCCTGTTTCTGTCCTCACTATGAGCCACCCTCCTCTGCCTGGCTCTTTCCACCACCACTGGAGACCACTTCCCTAGTCCTGGATCTGACTCTGCCCCACTGTCACTGCAATCCTTGGCCCTAACCCCAGCTCCTTTCCTTCCTCACTTGAGTCCACCCTGTCATCTCCTGTCCCTCTGGGGACCCATGCTTGGCTGTATATATGCCACTGGATGCCCCAGTGGCAATGTTGATGGGTGCCTTGGCTCTCATCCCCCAGAGCTGAGGAGATACATGAAGATAGAGGAGATGGGAGCAGGGTCCCTGTCTGCCACTCCCAACAGCTGCTGTATGTGCAGGGGACACTGTCCCAGATCCAGCAGGGCTTCTCACAGATGCACATGTCTTTCTGTAGATCTCCAGTGTCCTGGACATGGAGGCAGTCACCTTCAAGAAGCTGGTGAAGGGCCATGCGTATTCTGTGACAGGGGCCAAGCAGGTACTGCTGTGGGTGGGGCCTGCCCTGCAGGGTAGGTCCCTCTTCCTTGCCCATCCTGACCTCCCTGGTGTGGGATCAGGGCTGTGGGAGGTGCCTGCTCCCCCTCTGACCTCCAGCAGTACCTATTCGTCCCTGGGGACTCCCCTCCCAAGATGCTTATTGAAGCTCACCTCATTCCCTGTGGCTTAGGTGCACAGCTGCCTCCCTGGCTGTAAATTCTTGGGGGACAGGGCTTATGGCTCTATTACCCTGGTGTGTGGATGTGTGTACTCCTAGGAGGGAGGATATGGGGCAGGTGTCAAAGTTCGTGCCAGAAGCTGGTGCTGATGGGTGCTCTGGGGAACAGGTGAACTACCAGGGCCAGATGGTGAACCTGATCCGGATGCGGAACCCCTGGGGCGAGGTGGAGTGGACTGGAGCCTGGAGTGATGGGTGAGGGGCAGGTGGGGCATGGGCTGGGTAGACTGGGCACTGGCCAGTGAGACTTGGGGAAGCTCTTAGGTGTCCCTGACATTTCTACCTGAGGCTCTGCCCTTCCAGGGTGGACTTGGGATTGAGCAGAGGGACCCATCTTAGGTGCCTGAGTTTGGGGCACTGCCTCAGCTGTGTGGGCCTGGTCAGCCTGGGGTGTGCCCAGGGGTCTGAACTGGCCCTGCTGAGACAATGCCCTGGGACTGGACCTTGAGGCTTCACTGTAAGAAGACCTCCTCCAGGCTCAGGAACATAGCCCAGGGTGGACAGGCCCCTGGGACAGAGGCCAGGCAGGTCAGTGCCCAGAAGCCTTGGCAGTGCCCTGCTCCCCACAGCTCTTCCGAGTGGAACTACATGGACCCACACATGCGGGAGCAGCTGCGGGTGAAGATGGAGGATGGGGAGTTCTGGTGAGCAGCCCCCTGTTGTCCTCAGCAGCCTCATCCCCCACGGCCGCATGGCCGAGCACTGCGGCTTACCTCTGCCCTGACCCCAGGATGTCGTTCCGGGACTTCATGCGTGAGTTCACCCGCCTGGAGATCTGCAACCTGACGCCTGATGCGCTCAAGAGTCGGACCCTCCGCAACTGGAACACCAAGCTCTACGAGGGCACCTGGCGTCGCGGGAGCACTGCAGGCGGCTGCCGAAACTACCCAGGTGACCAAGCTCAGGCATGCAGGGTGGGGGCTGGGCATTGGGAAGGCACAGAACCACTTGGAGCCTCAGTTTCCCCACTGTAACATAGAGGTGGTTGTGCTTGTTAGTCCCTCGAGTTTGCTCTGAGGAGTAAAATATTAACTGTCAAAGCCAGAACTCTTACAGTGTCTTCATCTCCATCCTGCTTTCTCTCCTTACCCAGCTTAGGATAGAATCCTTTTTGATGGTGGTACTGGGGATTGAACCCAAGGCCTTTGCACTGCATTACATCCTGGCCCTTTTTTATTTTGAGACAGAATCTCATTAAGTCACTAAGTTGCCCAGGCTGGGTTTGAACTTGCTATCCTCCTGCCTCAGTCTCCCTGAGTGCTGGGATTACAGGCATGCACTACCACACCTAACTAGAGCCATCATTTTGATCTTGTTCTGCCCAACCATTCAGTTTCCTGGGCCCTTTTTCCTGGGTTCTTGTTACCCACCACAACCACAATCCAGGTTGAGCCCAGCTCTTCACTGGCTCTGAGTCACTGAATGTGGCTAGAGAGAAATCACACAGTTGAGACCAAGTAAATTTGTGGCCACAAACCTCAAATGAACACTTCGTAGCTGGTGTGGTGGCACACAACTGTAATCTCAGCACCCTGGGAGGCTGAGGCAGGAGAATCACAAATTTGAGTCCAGCCTGGAAGTCTAGACAAGTTGGCAACTGAGCAAGACCTGGTCTCAAAACAGAAAAAACCTGGAAGTGGGGGGAGCACAGTCCCCAGCCCTTCCACTGTGAGTTGGTATCGTGTGCCCGCTCTTAGCTTCTCTCCTTTGTTACTGTCAAGAGTGGAGCCAGCCTTCTACTTGGTTGCAAAAGTTGTAGGATTCCTCCTTTGTGTGTGTATGGGGAGGTGCTGGGAATTGAACCCAGGGCCTTCGCACTGAGCTACATCATCAGCCCTTTTTGTTCTGTATTTTGAGATGGTCTCCCTAAGCTGCCTGGGCTGGGCTTGAACTCTCCACCCTCTGCCCCTGCAGGATACCTCCTCCAACTCCCACATGCCAGTCCACTGGGGTGCACCTGTGCCCATCCATGCTACCTCCTGCCTGGGGCTGTGGCAGAACAGTCCCTGCTCTTGGGAACCCACTCTGCTCCGAGCCCACCCTCCCTGCCCTCTGAGAGCTCCTTTGTCCCTCACCCTTCACTCTTGTGTTGTTAGGGAAAATCCCAGGTCTAAAAGCACAGTGACCCTGTCCTGACCCAGCCTCCCCACCCAGGTTTCTCCTTTCCTTCAAAGCAAACTTTGCAGGAATTGCCACCCTGCAGTTTCCTTCTGGGCAGCTTTAGCTTTGCCAAATCACCGCCACTCTGTCGCCTGTCCTGCATCCTTCAGCAGTTCTCAGTTTGGAAGTGCTCTTTTCCCTCGCAGGAATCCCATTTCAGTATCCCCCCAGGTCCATAAGCACTGTCCCCTGTGCTGTGATTGAGGAGTCCCCTGTCCTCCTGCAGCACCAGCTCTGTCCTGGACTTGCCACGTCTCAGCTCATCGTTCTGCCCCTTGGACTGTCCTTCTGCCAAGGGGGCACTGACTTAACTTGTTACACCCTGGGAAGAAGCCCCGCTGCTGGACAATTCCTGCTGGACAATTCGCTGCTGGCGAATTCCTTCTTCAAGAGTTTCGTAGCTATTTTTGCCCCTTTGTTTTTCCACATGAACTATAGAATAGGTTTATCAAGTCCTGTAAAACACCATTTTGAGGCCAGAGGTGGAGCTCAGTGGTATAGCACTTGCCTAGCATGCACAGGCCCTGGGTTTGATCTCAGCACTGCAAAAACAAATAAATGAAAGAAAATAAGCCATTTTAAGATATTAATTTGGAGTTGCACTAAATCTGTAGAGCAATTTGGAGAGAATTGACATTATTACCATTTTGAGACTTCCTGTCTCAGACTGACGTTTCTCTTAATTTATGTGATCTCTAATATTTTTCAATAGAGTCTTATAATTTTCATTAGAAGAGTTCAGTCTCACCTTGAGATGTATTCTGGGGTATGCTATCATTTTGTTACTACTATAAATACAAACTCAGTACCCCTTATCTGAAATGCTTGTTACCAGAAATGGATGGATTTTGGATATTTGGGGATTTTTAAATCTTTTTTTTTTTTTAATACCGAACTAAGGACCTTGCACTTGCCAGGCAGGTGCTGTGCTGTTGAGCTGCATCCCCAGCCCTGGGATTTTGAAATATTTATACATATAATGAGATATCCTGGCTATGGGATCCAAGGCTAAACATAGAATTTATTTATGTGTTATATCCTTTGTCTGCACAGCTGGAACGTAACTTTATACAGTATTTTTAGTGCACGTGCTTTTGTTTTGCACTGAGCTATATCACCAGCTCTTTTTTTAATTTTTATTTTGAGACAGGTTCCCAATAAGTCACTAAATTGCTCAGGCTACTCAAACCTGTGATCCTCCTGCTTCAGCCTCCCAGCATGGATATTTTTACTCTTTTTTTTTTTTTTGTACCGGGGATCAAACTCAGGACCTTGTACTTGTGAGGCAGGCAGCAGAACTACTGAGCTAAATCCCCGACCCATGGATATTACTCTTTTATACAACAGATTTTACATCCAAGTTCATGAGTGACATTTTCCTGTTGCTTTCTTTTTTCTCATTAACCACGCTGGTATTGCTGCTATGTCTTTCAAACATCCTCTCTTTCCGTTTTCTAGAAGGATTTGCCTAAGGTGGGGGATATGTTGCTTCAGTATTTGGTAGAACCTGTCTGTAAAGCCGTCAGGCCTGTTCTTTTTTATATGAAATGAAATTCAGCATTGAATATGGTTATCAGATTGTTCCTGTTTTCTTTTCCTTCTTAAGCCTTTTTTTTTTTTTGGTACCGGGGATCAAACTTGGGACCTTGTGCTTGCGAGGCAAGCGGTGAAACCACTGAGCTAAATCCCTGGCCTCTTAAGCCTTTTTTTAAAATGTTATGTACAATTTTATTCCATATGAAACTAAACAGTATTACTGAACTATTGTTGAGCCTGCTTTTGTGGGTTGTATTTTCTAGAATTTATTCTTTGCATCTGTTTTCACAGTTTCTGGCACAAAGTTATGCCCAATATCCTCTTATGCCTCAGTTTGTTTGTTTTGGGGGGGAGGTTTTTTGTGGGGATTGAGACATGGTCTCAGTATGCAGTTCAGGCTGACCCCAAACTCATGGTGATCCTCCTGCCTCAGCCTCCCAAGGGCTGGGATGACAGGCATGTGTCACCACTCCTGGCTTTATGCCTTGTTTGTAATAATGTCCCCTCTTTATTAAAGGTATTGCATATTTGTAACAGTTATCTGTATTTTATAAATCCTGTGAAGTTTGTCAATATTAATCTTTTTTCAGTTTAACTATTTTTTTA